TCGTAGGTCAAATTGACGGGTTAGAATGGCCCACTAAACTCCTAAAAGAACTGTTCCAGCCTTCGCAAATATTGTTTGTTCGAGCATTCCCACTAACTGTTATTTCATTCATGTTCCAAAGTTCAGGGGGAAATACTGGTGGTGTCCTCCTCAAAAGTATGGTGAGTGGATTATTGCCGGGCACTATTCTTAATTTTCCACGACAATAAAATTCATCAAAATAATTGACAAATTTTCTTATGTCGTCATCATTATTTGGGATGTTATTTAACAAATAAATTATCCCTTCTTCCACATCTTGGATTCGTAGAAAGGCGAGCCCATCGACCATTCCTACAAAGTGTCTTATGTTTTCATTTTGCTTATAAGTCGCACTTAATCCAAGTTCATTAATTTTCCTCCAGGAACTTTGTGTCAGATGAAAAAAACATGCTTTAATCTGAACGTGGTGACCAAACACGTCTTGAATTCCTCTCCGGGGGGCAATTTCGAAATCAATCATAACATCAGTTGGTTGTAATGTTAATTGATGTCTCTGTGCAACATCCTTCAAAGCTCTGAATAATTCTTCATAGCTTTGTTGAGTTTTGGTTGTCATTAAAACATAAACGCATGTTATGTACAAATCATCTCTCGTTTGGATGCGAATTATGTAAATTTGATGAAAAATCCTTGGGCATAACGAAAAATTTCCATCCATGAACCATCTAAAAAAATTTAAAATAATTATTATATATTGAAAAATAATATTATTATGTATTAATATAATATATTATCTAGCAACATATATTTATATCGGTAGTTATATACCTTGAATGAGTTGAAAGAATCGTTAGCTGGTTCAAACATGAATACAAAATCAAACGATTTTCTGAATTTATTCCATTATCGTACATGAGGAACGGCGTGTCACTTGTGCTACTAATTGTTTTAAAATCGTCCGGAATATTCAAATCTGTCGCAGATTCAGGTTCTTTTGGAAAATGTTTTCTTTTTTGATATCTAAGTCTTCTTGTCATGTGGTCTTTTGAAGTTAATTTTCTTTTGACATCTTCATTCATGCTGACCAATTCTGATGCGTATACGTGTGTTGGTTTCGACGTTGACACTAAACATGCAGCTTGTTTCATC